AATAGAAGCTAACGTAACTAACATACCGAAGTATAAAGATAAAATAACACAAATGAAGAAACTATTGCTAACATTCTCAATAACGTCCGTAACATGGAAGTGTAACATAATCGGCACTTATACTGATCATACGGAAGGCTGGAAAACGATTAATAGGCTACACCGTGTGTAACTTAGATGGTACTTTTATGGCAAATAACCCTACACTGGAGATATGGATCTAATCAAGAGCGATTCCAAGCACACAGAACTAACTAACCAATCTAGTAACGATAAAAGGAAACTCAACCGAAACAAAAAACAATAGAAAACCTAAGAACTAACCATAAAAAACAAGGAATAGATCACTCACTTTGGTTTGCACACGCACTGAACTTGACTTGATAGAATAGACGAGTACTGAACAGTATAGAGAGAAACTATAGCCCAATGCCGAGTAGAAGTTGACGCAGTGAAATCTGCACTTGAACTGACGTAACCGAGGAAAACCTCGTGGATATATCTAACTGGAGAACACATACGCAAAACCTAGCGGTTATGACTATTTCCCTAACGGACATAGCAGCTGAGGGCTGGTCAACCACAGTAGATTAAGTAAGTAAGTAAGTAAGTAAGTAAGTAAGTAAGTAAGTAAATAAGTAAGTAAGGCCTTGTTTGAAAGTGACAATTACTTGATAACATCTACGGTAAAGTAAGTTCCTGCGACAATAAACGAATTAACATCACGTTTCAAAACCAACAGTTAGAGGGGGGTGAATAGGGGTACACAAAATATCCACCAATCCGTACGATTTTTTTGCCAACTCCATTCATCTGTCAGAATCTGGAATCTGCAGTAAAATTCACAACAGATCCATGGTCTGCCGTATTTTTGAAATCTGCAAATCCACTGCAGAGCCTTTGGGACACTTTGGTGTAATGTAGCCTTGTCTTAATGTTACTATTCTAGTGACTTTTATTGATAGTAACTCCGAGAAACTCAATCATATTTAGTGATTGACATTATTGTAATTGACTTGTAGGTTGGAGAACACATTGACAGAGATTGCCAGTCTGACCCAGCAGTGGCAAAGAGAAAGGTTATTTACCCCTTCCAGCATTCCCAGTATACCCATTGTGTTACTTGATTATTTTACACGAAAATAAATTAGAGGGAATCCACTTTGCTTAGATTTTATTCAATGTTATATGACTAGCATTAGCAACTTACCAGTAATCACATTTAATTACTGAGAATTATATTTGAAGTAAGTAGATTTTCTTTCTTGCCAAAGGGAAAGGCAATGCAGGGGTTCTAGAGTTGCACAGTGGATCTGTAATAATGTAAAAACAAATGCAAATTAAATTTTTAACAATACTCTAACTTACTCTTGTCTTATTATGCCTTAGGCCTATCTTAATAGATGTTCTGTCAAAGGATGTAAACAAAAAGAGGTAAATGTACTAAAAATTCCTTGCCACGGTATAAACTTTTATTAATTAATTTTCTTTATCTGGTAATATTTGAGCATCCTGCTAAAGAACCAAAAAGACCTTTTTTAAAACAGTACTACTTTCAGAAAATATAATAATTGTTTTAAAGAATCCACCAAATTTTTATTTAGCTGGAGTGCAAATTATGTGCAGTAGGATCATAAAAGATAGAATTAGATAAGGACTATTATTAAATATCTATTTATTTCACTGGATATACAGTCAAGTGGTAATTTTAAGGGAAGGGCTCAGACCCTAACCTAATTTAAGTTAGAACAAAAGTCCGTTCTATAGAACCATTGTTAGGTACTCTTAAATGTTATAATATTGTTGATCTTTTGTTGATGAAACTAAATATTTGTGAGTGACATGTTTTGTAGTTGGTAAAATGTGCTGCATTTAAACCCATTTCAGCTTATTCCTGTTAGATGTGAGTCATGTCGGCAAAACTTTTGCTTAAAACACAGACATGAGCAAGATCATAGTTGCTCTGCAGTTGTACGAGGAAGTTCTGGGAGGTTCGTTTTCTCTCTGTTAAAGATTAATAAATATCTTGATTTCATTGTTATTAGCAAGTTACAGAACAAAAATTTGGGAGAATGAGAAATGCTGTGAAAGCATATTCAAACTGTCTACAAATTCTGATTGTTGTTGACACCAGATCTACATGTATGCTGTTGAACATATTTTTGAATTTCAGCTTTTCTGATACTTTTACCTGCCAGATTAATCAACTTTAATTTATAAACTTTTTTATGGGAATTTTTAGGTTAAATCCTGGTTATTTTTAGATATTTTTAAGAGCAGTTTTACCACCCATTTTGGGACCTTTCTAGCACCTTTTTTCCAACTGATTTTTCTCGGACAATCCAAATTTTAGTCTTAATCCTGAAACATTGATTAAGTCTTGTTAATTTTCGTAGCAATTAAATAGTTTACTTAGTACAGTCCTTTCACACAGGAGACAAGTATTAATTCATTGAAGAATAT